GTCTCCTCCTTGCCCACGGCCATCGCCACCATACTGGGAGAAGCTTCTGCCTCATGCACCAGGCGCAATCCACACTTGCTCCATGTGACTTCTCTTCCAGCAGCTGGTTTGGATGGTCCCTTCACCCTAGAAAGTGCTGTTCTCCCAGCTCCATCGAGAGATCTCAATGTGAACACGATGGGAAAAGAATCCAGAGCTCAGAGTAGCGTGAAGTTCAAGCGAATCTCTCGCCTAGCCAGTGCCCGGCTGCCTCCGTTGCAGTGTTGCCGTCTGTGTCTAGGCAGTTCTGTTTCTGCTTCTTCTCCTCCTGCTGAAAATGTACTTTGACATTCTTTTTTTTACAAATAGCACAATTTTCTCTTTGTGTTTCCCTTAATAAAACACAGAAATGAGAGCAAGAAAAAGGAAAGTGAAAAAACATGTTTCTGTCATCTCCACTCTACAGCAGGAAGCCCGTCCGGCTCCCTCACCTCTTCCCTCCCGCCAAGCATCTCTGAGCCCTCATCTATGCTCCTCTCCCCGCATTCTACACAGAGCCTTGTGAGTCTGCAAAGCTTTGCTTCTGTTTTCTTCCGTAGAAAAGATAGGTCCACAGCTAGTCTGCACAGCATCTGTAAACTGTATTTGACTTCAGACAGAAGATGGCATAGAACTGGAGTAGGATCAGGGAGCCTCCTATGTGTCCTGACTGCTCTACTTCCTATCCAGCTCTCTGCTTGTGGCCTGGAAAAATAGTGGAGAATGAAGTCCTTAGGACCTTGCACCCATGTGGAAGTTTCTCAGTTCTTGCTTCAGGTTGGTTCAACTCCGGCCATTGTGGTCATTTGAGGAGTGAACCATCAGATGGAAGAGATTCTCTCTGTTTCTCTATCTCTCTTTGTAAAAGTCTGCCTTTCAAATAAAAAGATGCAATTCTTTAGAAAGAAAGAAAGAAAGAAAAAAAGGACATATTTCCCAGATGCTTTGGATCTGCTTGAAGTATGCAAGATATCCAGTGTTCAGAGCAGCCACCTACCCCTTGGTAGCAATCAGTGCACATATTCACACCAACTTATCAATGTGCTGTGACAGAGAGGTGTCCTACCAGCAGCCCTGACAGAGAAAGACTGAGATGGTTTGCTCTTTATGGCCTACAGTATGGGTCCACAGCAGCCCCTGGCCTGGAAATGCTGAAACAAAACCGGACCCCATTCTTGGGTGTTTCATTCCCTAAGTAAGGAAATGAGTGAGGCTGAATGTGTCAGCCCACAAAGCTCTAACAGGTCTGGGTGCTGCAATGTGGGGACACAGAAAGACTGTGTCATATCCAGAGAGAACGGCCCAGGATGTGGGCGGCAACTTTGCCGTCACTGAAGGTTTAGGAAGGAGGCTTTACCTTCGTGAACGAGAAACCCTGTGGACTCACTGGACCTGAGGGTGGGAGCTCTCAGAAAACCAACTTTGACCCATTTCAATCCAAATAGTTGGCCCAGACGAGCTCACGGATCACGTTTTCTTCTAAAAGTGCAGTTTAAGAGAAGGGTCTCTTCTGACTCCTGTTTACCTCATTTTCACAAACTCTCAGTTAAAAAAAAAAAAATAGTTGCCTTTTGATTAAAAGAAAACTAGCTTCCTAAAAGGCTTCTGAATAGTGGCTCTAGCTGCTTCTTTCATTCGAAGGTGAAATGACAACATTCACAATTGAAATGGAAAGCCACAAGGCATGACCCGGATGGTCCACTTGTCTGTCCACTCATGATGTGGCCACTGGTCATTTCAGGAGTACAAGCGGGATTCATGATCTTCAGTTGACTGAGGGAGGTCAGACAAATTGTGGAAAAAAAAAAAAAAAACCAAACAAACAGAAAAACCACCTCCACGTGAACAAGTTTGCATCTTTATTGGTTTAGGCTTCTCAGCCAAGTCTACGACTAGACAGCCATTAGGTGGTTGGGTTTGGGGTTGCCTCATTCCATGGAGCTATGGAAGGCCTGCTGACCTTCCAGACTGGTTTGCCCAGAAACCAGGCCTGCGGGTGCAGACTCAGTGGCCAGCCGGGAAATGGCACTGAGTTCTTCTCAGTCCTGCCCCTTCTCTTCAAAGCAGGCTTCATTTCTCCAGCAAGGTGCTTGCTCAGCTCTCCTTTGGGCCTCGCTAGCAACAAGGCCTCTAATGTGTTCAGGAGACACAGTCCCCCAAAAAGACATTCCTACCCAAAACTTGTGTAATCTACACTAATCAGGCTGCCTTCAGATGCAAGAACCGTTGGAAAGATTTGGGTCTTAGAAAAAGCAAGGATCTACCCACTGTCCGGATACTTGCTGCAAAAGGAACATTCTTCCTGCTAAATAAATGTATTACATAAGTTCAAGACTTTCAGTGGAATCAGAATTCTGTTGACCACAGGCAAATTTTCCTTCTTACTGTATTTTCTCCACTTTTTTTTTTCTTGGCAAAAGTTCTATATTACCCTAAGAATACTTGTAATTTATATAGTTAGCACACACAATTATCTAGATTTTTTCACACCCTGCCCATCCTGGGATAGCAAGGACAAGTTCAGATGTTAACAAATGTGCCAAGAACTGTTGGAGCCACGTCAGGGAAATTTCCCAGCCACAGTAAGCCCCGAAGAGTCACCTGAAACAGTGGATGAAACTGTTTGTTCTGCGTTCCTCACGGGTTTGTTGCAAGGATCAAGCAAACTCATTAAGGTGAACCTGCCCTGGAAAGTACAAAACGCGGTTCCAAGTATTATCCTCTTCCACTTTCCCCTTGCTTCTCTGGAGTCACAGTCAGTGTAGACTGGTGCCTGCTGGCAGAGCCTACAATGGCAAGCAGGGGCCCTGCTCCCCAGGAACCCCAAGCTGCCACCCTAACTTTGTCCTTAGAAATGGGGGCGGGTTCAGACCTGTGAAGAAGGCAGCAGAAAACCCTTGCTGGGTGGTAGCTCTCCTGCTCTGGTTCACTTTGGCGAATCAGTTCAGGAAATGTTACAAGAACCTCGCTGAACTTTCCTGTGGAGTGGCCTCTGGGTTCAGGGGCTCTGTGCCGTTTCCCTCACCTGTAAATGTTGGTGTATAATTGCTTCCACTCCACAGATGAATTGACTGTGTAACCAAGTTCAGTGTTCACAGACATCAGCCAGTGCTAAGGCATAGGTGATGAGCATCCACACGCGGCCAGGCACCAGTTAACCTGCTGGGATGCAAGCCCACTGAGAGCTTGCTCCCGTCCCTGGAGAAGCTAAAGTTCTGGCTTTGTAAGCTCAAGGTGTCTGCTATCTCCACCCCCCCCCCCCGACACTGCATTTCGTCAAAGAGTGTCCAGTCTCTTTCTGTCTCTGCTCTGGGCTTTTGCAAGTTCATGCAGAGAGCCCATCTCTTCCACCGATTCAAGCATGAGCGCTGTGTTCCCTTGAGTCTGTAACACCGGGTCAGTCAGTGCACAGGTTTCGAGCCCAGCAGAAATTGGGAACCTGCTTAGGAAGGGGTTGCCCGGTGCTCGCGGTCGCACGCTGTTTCTGCGGGGGGGGGGGAGGTTTCCCGCGCTGTCCCCTCTTACCGGGAGTGGCTGGAGAGCGCCCACCGGCCAGGTGGGGCGCAGAGCTCTGGGAAGGCCCTGTCCGGATGCCCCGAGGTAACAGTTAACACGTGGACACGAGGAAACTTTGCGAGCCGAGGAGGTCGCTGCGGCCGCCAAGTCCGCGGTGCAGCCAGGCTGGGAGAGAGAGAGCCCCGCAGCCCGGCGGCGGGACGCGCTCCCAGCCCCCCGCCCTGCACACCCCACCCCCTTGCCTCGGCCGCGCACGCAGCGCCGCGGGCCCAGTCAGAAACGGCGGGATCCGCCCGGCGAAGCAGGGCCGACTTGCACCCAGGACCCTGGGCCTCCGCCTTCCCCGCTAGTCCCGGAGAAGCATCCGGTCCTTCCCTCTCCGCCGGAGAGCGACGCGGGCGGGCGGGACGTCCCGGGAAGGCCGGCAGCTCGTGGACACGTCTTGGCCCGGCCCGAGCGCGCTGAGGAGCAGAGCCAGGGGCCGGCGTTCGCTCCGGTTCCCTCCCGGGCGCGCCGGAGCCGGAGCCAGAGCCGGGGGGGGGGACGGCTGCTCGGGCTGCGGCGGCAAGGGACGACGTCTTCTTGGGCCGGAGCTTCCCGTGGCGTCCCCGCAACTCCACTAAGATTCCAGTCGGGACGAGCTCGCTCGCTCGCTCGCTCACCAGGTAAGGAAGGCTGCCCTTCCCGGGTTCCGGCTCGAGCGGGCGCGTTTCTGGAAGTGCATTTGAAATGCATCCAAGAGTGAGCCCGGCCAGCCCCGGCTCCTCCCCGGAGCTACTCCTCTGCTCGTCCAGGCATTCCCGGCACTGGCCGACCGGCGGGAGGACCTCCCCGCGCGCCCCGCACGCCCGCACCCGTGCTCCCCTACCCCCACAGCGGAGCGCCGAGCCGGGAGTCAGGAAGCCCCCCGCGTCCCTTCCCCTGCCCCTTCCCGAGCGCGCACAGGTGAGGGCCCGACGACGCGCCCGCGGCCAGGGTTGCACACCCCGGCGTCCAGCGTGCCTGCGCCGCCGGGTTATGCGAGAGGGAGGACGCTCAGTCCCCTTGATGCCCGTCACACTCCTGCAGCCGGGTTCCCCTTACAAAACTCCCTAGGACCTGAGTTCATACAGGTTGGGGCGGAGCCGGACCCGGGATGGGAAACCTGAGGCTGGGGACGGGGGAGGGGGGCTGGAGAAGGAGACACGCAGCTGGGGGGCGGAGGCCTAAGTACATAACGCGCGTTGACTTCAAGTGAAATCAGATCAGTCAGGGCAGCTCGCTGTGCCTCCTCTCCTCCCGTCCCGCACAGTTCTCGGCTGGACCCAACCCTCTCGGCTCCTGCTGGGGGCCTTGGTCATCCCCCCTCCTCTCCCCTCATCTTGTCCCAGGAGTGTGGTAGCTGCGGGCACCGAGTCCCAGGGGCACGGATTCCAGACACCGCCTCGCCTCATCTATTCTACAGGTTCTCCTGGACCGGCCCGAACATGCTGGACGGCCTGAAGATGGAGGAGAACTTCCAGAGCGGGATAGAGACCCCAGCTTCCTTCTCCTCGCTGCTGGGTGAGTGTTCAGGCCGTCCACCCCCTGGCGCACCTTCTTTCCTCCAAGTCCCGAACTTGGAGCCCTGCTCCCTGGGATGTGGTAGGCCACCAAGGGGCTCCAGCCCCTCTTTCTGCACTTAGCCTCCTTCCCGGTTTCTCAGTCAGTCCTCCGGAGTCCTACCTACCCAAGTAAAAACCAACAAGCCGCCCCAGATCTCAGGCGCTGTGCTTTGAATTCCCCCCAAGTGGAGAGAGGGGCGGGCAAACTGCTCCGTTGCTCCGTGGGCATCTGAGTGGCAAGTGATTAAAAGGACCCGGGGCTGGATCTTTTTTTTTTTTTTTTTTTTTAATCACGGAGCTGATGGACGCCTCCTAAGTGTCATCGTTTTCTCGGAGGTCTTTGTGGAACATCTGAAGCCGGGAGCATCCGAGTTGGAAGCAGCTTTTTACCCCCACTAACTCCAACCCCGATTTCGGGCTTTTCCGGGCGAGTGGGCAGCGCAGCGCGGGGATTAGTCCGCACGGCGGGGCTCTCGCCTCGGCTTTAATTAACTGGTGTAGGGTCTCAGGTCCGGCGGTTCCCTCCACCCCCGCCCCAGCCCTTCTCGGAGACCCTGGAGGAGCGAGGAGTCAATGGCTTCGGAAAAGTGTCGTACGTGTGGCTCCCGGGGGCCGAGGCCAAGGGTTCTAATAAGGGGTTTCTACCCGGCTCCTGGTAATTTTGAAGTCTGGGCTACGGGAATTTATTTTTTCTTTTTTCCTACTTAAAAAAAAATACCGGAAAGAATTGTTTTTTCGTTGTGTGTTTTCAATTTCTTGTTTCTTTTCCTCACTCGGGCCCTGCTAAGGCAGAGGTATGAGACATTTCGCCTGGAGATCCTTTATCCAGACATCCGGAGGAATCGAAATCACGCACCTAGACCTCCCTTCTTTCCTTGCGCCTTGGGTGACCTCAGTTCCCTGGGGAGAGGCCCTGGCACGCCGGGGCAGCGCCTGCAGACGTCCACAGTGGGGTCGGGTTTAGGCCGGAGCTTTCCTCCTGGTCCCGGTCTGCGGCTCAAGCCGGTGCCGTGGCACGGGCAGCAGAAACAAAACGGAAGGCTCACCTAGTTGTCTAGGTCATTGCTTTTCCTAGACCCCTTGAACCGCTTCCCAAAGCCACCTGCCCTGCTGGGAGGTCGGTGGCAGGGCCCCTGGAGGAGAAAGAGGCAGGAGTATTAAAGAAGGAAATGGGTAAGGGGAGGCCTTTTCCGACCCACGCGCAAGAGCGTAGTTAAGGTGGGATGGAGGCCACTTGGAAATAGCTGTGAAATGTGAGGACGAAGGTGGCCAAGCACCTGCCCCCCACCCCACCCCAGAAAAAGCACCTCTGCCTCCCCCAGGCAAACAGGAGGCAAACAGGCCAGGAAGCAGGGCACAGCAGTTCTTGGGCTGCTGAATTTGGCGATTTCGCCCCGTGAACCACTGTGGTGCGTACCCCTATTGCCTTAGGGAGTCCGGCCGGGGGTCTCCCCGTACTTTTTCTTCTTTTTGACCATTTTTTTTCATTCCCCGTGTTTGAACACTTCTTAGGATTAACCCGTATGCAGTTTTCACGCCAGCCAACACAGTTTGGGGGTTCATTGGTTTGAACAATACTGTCTTGCCCGGAGGGCGACCTAAGTACATGTTCATTTCCTCCCCTCAACCCCTGCACCCATGGGATATTTTCGGACTAAAAAAAAATTATTTAAACTCTACCCTGTCCCCAAGTAATACTGAGTTTAACCAAAGGAAAAAAAGCAGTTAGCCTCCACTCCTTCTGTTAAAAATGGTCCAGAGACAAGCATAGTGAGTGGTTTACTGGTTCATTTCGATGCCATAAACCTGGGACGCGCACAGTACTTCGGATGTAATTGTACAGAATGCACGTACGCACGCGCTCATCCCTGGGTGTTTTTAAAAACCAAAGACCACTTATTAGTTTCTGCCCCCTTCCTGCTAGGAATGAGCCTTCCCACAAAATTTCTGATTTATTAGAAATGCCAACTTACGTTGATATGATTTTTCCAAGTCCCAGATTGGGTGAGGTGTTGAGGGCTCTCCCTGGGGGAGGATACCGGAGACCCAGGAGAATCCACGGGCGTGGAGGGATCGGGAGCGGGTCTCGGCTGGGGCGGCTCATCCGTGTGATCGTCTGTTGTGGCTACAGGCAGAGCGGTGAGCCCCAAGTCGGTCTGCGAGGGCTGTCAGCGGGTCATCTCGGACAGGTTTCTCCTGCGCCTTAACGACAGCTTCTGGCACGAACAGTGCGTGCAGTGCGCCTCCTGCAAAGAGCCCCTGGAGACCACCTGCTTTTACCGGGACAAGAAACTCTACTGCAAGTATGACTACGAAAAGTAAGTGGCCTCGCCGACGACACGCGCGTCCCCTGCTCCGCTGTCAGCGTGAGGCTGGACTTTGTCCGTCTTTTATCCCCCACCCCCGATCCTCTCCTGGGAGGCACCCACAAAACTCCCTTTCATCCTGTTCCCTGGGTGCCCCGAGCAGCGGGGCTCAGCGCCAAGCAGCGCAGCCCTGGTCGCTGCCCTGCAGAAGCGCGCGCGCGAATTTGCTTCCTTAGAGTTCATTTTTCTGAATTCGACCATCCCCAGACGCAATTTCTCTGGAGCCCCCGACTCTCCCGGGCTCCCCGTTTATTCAATGCCCATGGTGACTGTGTCAGTGACACGCGTCTTTTTGCTAGCTCCGGCTTCATCTCACCCAGGTGTCTGCGCCACCCACGCGCTGGTGCGGAGCCGGGAGCTTCTGTCCCCTGTGGGCTGGGTCCCGCTCGGGTTTGTCCTCAACAGAATGGAGCTGCGGCTACAGCTCCGAGCTAGGCGCAAGGCTCCTTGCCTTGTCCTGTTCTCTCTCCTCCCTCCCCACAGTCCTTTTTTTACCCCGGTCCTCTAGGAACAGGGGTGGTTAGGCCAGAAACGGGGGACAGACCTGAAGTCTCTTGTTCCGCCCTGTGCCTCCACTCTTGTTGCGATTTGAGTGTGCTTTGCTGCCTACCAAGCGGCGGGTTCCCACCTGTCGATCTGAACGTTCTGGGATGTTCAAGAAGCACTGGGAGCCAAGTGTTCAAGGAAGTGGATTATTTCGAATCTAGATTTCAGTAATGCCTAAAGCCAGAATGGGACCAGAAAGAGAGAACTGGAAAGATTTTCTTATTCTCGCCGGGCAAGCCCGCAGGAAGGCAGAGGATAAAAAGAGAGGGAACTAGTTTTCCTTGCGGAAAAATATCTAATTAATAGGGATGTTGAGTTTGCAGGGCTGTGGGGGGGTTTACAGGAAAGAAAAGTGTCTGGAAGCCGAGCTCACTGGTTTTGTACATTTGGGCTGGTAGCCGTGGGCGCGCGCGTGCACGCGCATGATTTTGAATAAAAGGGACCGCACCGTGTGAGGACACGCTAGGGAGGGTTAGTGTGCGTGAAAAGCTATTCCAGCTAAGTTGCCCAGATTTTGCAATAAAGGCCGGCGTGCGACAGCAGCGAGAAAGCACAGAAATGTTTTCGTTTCCACGTTGTCCAGGCTGTGAGACTTAGCGGGTCAGAGCTAGCAGACCTGGTGACAACACAGGCATTATTTCCACTAGACAGAGTTACTTTGCTATACAGTTCTGGGCATTTTTGACTGCTGCTTGGGGAAGATGATACATTCATATTTTTTTTCAGAGCTAATATATGCGTCCAAGTTTGGATGAGCTGGACAGTACAAAAATATCCAAAAAAAAAAAGTGAGCACTCCTCTAGAGGGAAGTGATTATTGGGGTTAGCATTTTTGAAAGCAGCTGTACCTGTTTCTGTTCTTGCTGGCTTGTTTATTGCCAAGGCGTCTTGAGTGTTAAAATGCATTTTTTCGGCTATTATGCAGATTTTAGCAACACAGTTCCAAGTATCACCTTTGGATAAAGCCGTAAGTTGATGGCTTTTTTTTTCTTCTGGTGCTTTTCATCTGAGGGTTTTGTTATTATTGTGTGGGTCTAATCTTTATCTTTGTGCTTATAGATTACTAACGTGCCCACATCCTTCAGGCACAGCACCAGAAAACTCAAAAGTATTGGAGCTTAGGAAAGGATTTGGGTTGTGAATTTCTATTCTGTTTGTTAAAAAAAAAAAAATCACAAATCAAAGAAAGCTTAGGGGTCAGCGCAGCTGTGTGGCGATCTGAGCATCTTTAAGGAAGTCAGGCCATGTCAAGAGGAGAAAAAACAGTTGTTGGAAAAGTGCTTAGCACAACAATGTCCCTTTAGGCTCAGCCCGGCAGGTTTGGTGAGGTTCTGTTAGCCCAGACGGGTCAGTTACCCCTAACCCCCGGCCCCCCTGCACAAGGCTATATCTACAAAGAGAAAAATTGCCAGGATCAACTTGCCAGCTGCTGACCAGAACCAAGATTTCATAGAGGAGTGCGATCTGCCTGTTTCAGAGAGGTGTTGATGTTATAATGAAGGTTCATCGTTTTTATTTAAAAATTGAGTTTGAAGCAATGTTGTTGCCTCTACTCTGCTCCTGGCACACTGTCATTTCTGGTCTATGCCCAGCCCTTCCATTTTTTTTTTTTTTAGATTCATTTAGATGAATTTGTTCTTTTTTTTTTTTTAATTCCCCTTTTCTCCTCTGTGCCGTATCCCAATCAGATTCTTCCGATCATATAGTGTTTTCATACATTTGGTAATCTTAATGGTATTTATCTGTAAGGCAGTGCTATAAAGGAAAGAAGATTTTGTTGTTGGTGTTATTTCAACACAGGGCGCATTACGTTATTCAACAAGCTTGTATTGGGCTTCTAAGTGTAAAACATTGGTGTAGATGAGGAGAGCATAACCAGGAAAGGTCCAGCACCTGCCTTCAGGAGGCTTCCAGCAGAACACCTATTCCAGCTGTGTTGTCTTAACCGGCATCTATTTCCTAAAAGCCTCCCCGACTTAGAGTTCAGGACTTGATGTGGCCCAGAGGCTTTGTGGGGGTGACCAGGTCTTTGTGCTCTAGAGGGACACAACTCAACTTGGAACAATAGTCACTCAGACACATAGGCAGCACTTTTCTTCTTGTTGCATTTGTGAATAATGACTTTGTGACTTTTTTTTTTTCCCAGGAGGGGGGTGGTGATGGTGGTAGATCTTTCAAAATGTAAAAAACAACTTGAAGCCCAAACAAGCTACGTTGAGAGGAAAATGAGATGGGAAATGAGGTGGAAGTTAAGTGGAAACACAATGAAGACATTATGGCTTATAGCGTACTGGAGAAAGTGATTCTTCAGGCAGCTCTTTCCTCTTCAAAATTCCTAAAGTTCAAACGCTTTTTCTGCAGATTTCAGTGAAAGGATGCTATATCTTCAATAACGACCACAAATACAGTCTCAGCAAAGTGGGCTTCTAGTTGTCTTAGCGATTCGTGTGTACATGTCTGCTGTTTAGCAGTTTTATATTTGGGTTAATGACTGTGTGCTAATTGTGTCCGGCAGTCGGTTAGAAGGATGAAAAGTGTGTTCTATCAATTACATTTACATCTTCATGATGTCAAATAACAGATTTTTCTAGTTGACAGTGGCATCTGGGCACACGGTGCTGTTGTCTTAGTGGGGGTTGTCACATGCATTGTGATATCCTTTAGATGGTATTATCTTCTGATTATCCAAAATCTGTATTTAAGGCAAGGATGTGCAACACTGAGTTAGAAACTCCCGAAAGTAAAAAAAAAAAAAAATGGAGTCCATCTTTGTTATTGCTATGTCATGACGGAAAGCTAACTAGTTAGATGGGATGACAACATTTACAAAACTGATGAAGATGTATGATAGCGTGGAAGACACCAGGGTGCTATAGGTGTGGATATTTCAAAGCTGAATTCAGCTGTCTCCCCCATGCCCGATAGTGAGCAGGCAACCAAAATATTTTCCAGCTATGAGCACTTCTATTTATATGACTGTTGTTCCCCATTTAACTGAGTCCCGTATGATCTGCATAGTTCGGAGTTTTCCCTGAATTTGTTCCAAACAAATGCTGTTGTTGGACTTAAGTCTGAGACCGAAGAGACTGCTGAATAACGGGAATGTGGTAATACAATGGATAATTAAGCCTTCTGGAAGGGATCCCACATTTAAATCAAGTTTAGATTGTTTCTTTCATGTGCCTGGCAGCTTGGTGGGTCGGGTGGGGCCCTCTCCCCTCACATATGAAGTTTATCATTATCCCTTGGATTGTTCTGGACATCTAAGGAGCAGTGTGGGATAGTATTGCTGTCATCAGTGCTGTTCTCAGAGCATCATAACTCCCCACATGTCAGCAAATCGCAGGCCTTGGGAAACCTTTCCTCAGAGGGCCGGCTCGTGTTTTCTTTTCTTTCTTCTGGAGAAGCCCAATTTTCCAAAGAAAGGGACTGGAACAGGAAGGGGTGTGTGTGCAAATCACATATTGAACATTTTTTTTTTTTTTGCCTTCTGATTGACCGTTTTGGGGAGAAAAGTACTTTGGTAATGATCTCTATTAAGATCAGTAATGAGCAAATTCTGCGTTTTATCAAGGTCGTATAGGCAGGGTACGTGTGTAAGGAGGAGTTAGTTTGGTTTTATTACTGTGACATTACTTGAGGATCAGAATTGGGCATGCAGTTACTCATAAAATTACAGAGGCAATTGTTAAGAGTTTTGCTTTCCTTTATCTTCTGTTGGCCCCACTCCTGGCACAATAAAATTTAAGGAACATGGAAATCAAACACAACCAGGTAATAAATCGAGGTCTGCACTGAATTGCAAGAGCTTAGCTCGGAGTTCAGTGCAGTGCGTGGATTGCAGCCGTGCTCGAGCAGGCTGACGTACCCCTTTTTGTTTTTGGTTTTAGTTTTAGAGTGTGATTGAAAGCATCCTCATCTCGGAGATGTTTTCTCTTCCTATATGTGTTCATTCCTGGGCCAGACCTTCTTGGATTCTCAGACTTAAAAATTTGAAATAAAATTAAATAGCAGGAATTAATGGCACTTTGGAAATTATAATTCTAAGTAGGAATATTGCCTTTGAGTGTATGCTGATGCAGTGTTTTGATCCTTACATAAATGCAGCACTTTTTAAAAAAAGTGATTTCCTCTTTAGCGTTACATATTGTACAGTGTTGGATGAAATTTGGATTTCTGGTAGTTCATTATCTTGCTCTTCAGTTTTGTTTTGCTTATTTACAGCTTCTGTATTAGCCAAAAGACCGTTACCAGCTTCAGGGGAGTGCCTTTGCTGTTTTTTTTGTTTGTTTGTTTGTTTGTTTTTAATTTTTGCGAAAGTGTTTGGGGCTAATGATCAGCCACTGTTGTACTAATGAGAACAAATTTGTTTATTAACTCATCAGTTAATTTATTTTAAGGTCAAA